GCTATATACACACACATATATATATATATATATATATATATATATATATATATATATATATATATATATATATATATATATATATATAATATATATATATATATATATATATATATATATATATATATATATATATATATATATATATATATATATATATATATATATATATATATATATATATATATATATATATATATATATATATATATATATATATATATATATATATATATATATATATATATATATATATGTGTGTGTGTGTGTGTGTGGTGTGTGTGTGTGTGTGTGTGTGTGTGTATGTATATATATATATATATATATATATATATATATATATATATATATATATATATATATATATATATGGCCTCACGATCGTGACTCAGTGGGTTGGACCTATGTTGATTCAAAATGATTCGAGTCAAATGATTCTTCATGAAATGAATCGATTCGATTCGCTTGGTGCAAACGCAGCCTTAGGTGTAACCTTGGATTCAAAGCTTACATTTAAATTGCACATTAGGAATATGGCCCGGGCAATTTCACCAAAGTTAGGCATTATTCGCAAGTGCAAGAAAATCTATGAAAATGATAACACTACATACACGTAGGTGCTTCTTTTCTTTTATTCTGCCTCATTTTGAGTATTGTTTTCCTGTATGGTTATCTGCTGCAGACTCACACTTATGACTGCTTGATTGTTCTTTTAATTCCATTAAATTTCTCCTGTCTGACTTAAATTTGGACACTGAACATCGCAGAGTTACTGGTGTTCTTTCAGTCTTATACAAGATTATAACCGATAATTCACATCCCCTCTATAAGTTTTTACCTGATTTTTATCAACCTGCAAGAATTACCAGAAGTTCTATGACCCTCAATTCAATGACATTTAATGTAAGTCGATCGTCTACAAGTCAGTTTTCTGGATGCTTTTTTACTTTCTTTTGTAGACTTTGGAATAGATTGCCTTCAGAGATTGTAACTTCGACTCTTGATAAGTTTAAAAGATCAGCGAACATGTTTTTCTTACGTAAATAGACGATTTTCTATTCTTTCATTCGTTTTTAGCTGTATCTTGACCTGCACTGACATCTTTGGTGGTATAAAATCTCAATTTTTCAGTGTGGCTCTAGATACGATATACATATATATATATATATATATATATATATATATATATATATATGTATATATATATATATATATATATATATATATATATATATATATACATATATATATCATATATATGATATGTATACACACACACTCATGTATATATTTTTCCAGGAAGCAGCTTTGAGTTTCTCTTTGCGTGCCCCTCACCGAGGCAACTAATCTAACACTAATGCGAATTAGTGACGGTTGGGTCACGTTTCATGTGAACTCCGAGCCTGTTCGGTGCGAAATACCTTCTACAGTATGGTGAGGTTACTTTTTGGGAAAATACTAAAGAAGGGAATTATCTACTAAAATGGGAAATTAAGCAATGATACAAAGAAAACAAGAGGTAAAAAAATTGGATAATTTATTGAGAATAACAAAGCGTTACAGAATGTGTGTGTGTGTGTGTGTGTGTGTGTGTGTGTGTGTGTGTGTGTGTGGTGTGTGTGTGTGTGTGTGTGTGGTGTGTGTGTGTGTGTGTGTGTTTATGTGTGTGTGTGTGTGGATGTGTGCATGTGTGTGTGTATGTGTGTGTGTGTTTGCGTGTGTGTGTTTGCGTGTGTGTGTGAGTGAGTGTGTGTGTATGTGCGTGTGTGTGTGTGTGTGTGTTTGTGTTTGCGTGTGTATGTATGTGTGTGTGTGCGTTTATTTGTGTGTGTGTGTGTGTGTGTAGGGCACGGTTCCAGCCGAGCGCATGTCCTCTCGCTGAGGAGGCACGTGTGAAGTGGGCGTGATATGGCAGCAGCGTCGGGTTGCAAATTTGGAATTGACGATTTTTATGGCACTTATGAAAAGAAAAGTCTCCTCCTCGTCCTGCCTTGAAAGAAAATTTTCTTCCAAGAGTTCTCATTGTGAACCGTATTCATGTTGACAAATGTGGAAAGGTATGAATGAGAACGAATATCTTCACAATACAAGAGATGTATTTAACCGGTTTCGATTATATCTTCGTCAGAAATACATGTAGGCCTATTTCTGACGAAGATATAATCGAAACCGGTTAAATACATCTCTTGTACTGTGAAGATATTCGTTCTCATTCATACCTTTCCACAAGTTCTCATTGTGCCATCTTGAAGCCCACAATAAACAAATGCGAAGCCACAATCGAAATGCGACGATCGATCGACATATTGAAGCCCACAGTAAACAAATGCGAATTGGTGACATTCAATCGATCAGTCAATCGATCTGGCTTCTGATTGGTGACATTCAATCGATCTGGCTTCTGACATCGTGCAGTACAGTCTGTCATTTTGAGAAATAATAAAAAAATAGATTATTTATAAATTCACTGGTTCTCAAGCAGTTTCTAATAGCTGGAATG